TGGAGGAGCATAGTTCAATTTACGAAGCTATTTTCAGATGGCATGGGCGGAAACCAATCAACTTGGATGTGCCGTCCATAAATGCCCTGATATGGTTATTGTGGTTTGCGAGTATTACCCTCCGTAAGTCCCACTTTTTCTTTTACTGCATTAGTGCCAAAGCCATAAAGACAGAAGGGAGAGAGAAGTGAATGAAATATGTGGTCCACTTTTGTTTTCGTTTCAGAGCAGGGGAGGGAGGGTAAAGCGCTAGATGCGCTAGAACTGGTGAAGTCGAAACGAAAATTGAATAAGGTGTGCTGATCTAAATTTGGAGCAGAAAATTTACTACTCCAATTAAGCCTCGTGCAAAGTGTGCGACATCTTTTAAACTGTTATTTTGGAATCAGAAGTTTTCTTCCTCTCTGTGTGTGTGAGCACTGTCAATAACTTTCAAAGTCCAATTTCTTGATCAGCATACATGGTCAGTTCTTAGCGTTTCTTGGATTTAAACCACCAAATGGGGAAGTTTTGTCTCTAGCATATAGCACTAGACTATTTTTACAGATAATCATTTGTTTTTCAGCGGAAACACACTAAACAGAAAAATCTACGAGACAGCGCAGACGGGACAGGCGCCCCCGCGCCAACAGCCTCCGCGCCAACAGCCTCCGCCGCAGATGCAGCAGCGCCAAGGGCCGCCGCAGCACATGCCACAAATGCGCCAGAGACAGCCAATGCCCCAGCAGCAGCAAATGCACCCGCAGCCGGAGGTGGTGTACGTGACCCGCCGCCGTAATTAACTTTTTGAATTTTTGTATGTGTTGAAATAAAGTTGATTTGCATGCAATTATCATATGCGTCCAACTCACACAGTTTATGGTACATGCATACCCAGATGAGCAGTATTTCCCAGTAATGAAGTTGTTAACGCTCTCATCACTGGTGTGCTGCTGTGTAGCTAGCATGCTAGCGATCCTAACGTTCGTTTCGTCTCCAGGATAGATAGCCACCATTTCTTTCTATGGCCTAGACCCCGCATACGCGTCCCAAAAAAAATACGCAAATTTCGTTGGCGGGAAACGATTCCGCAAACGAGACACGGTAGAAAGCTGAAACTGTGCAGGGATATTCTATATGCACGTGCGAGCTTAAGATTTTACACTCAGATGTCGGGCTTGCTTGTGAAGCGCAGTTTGCAACTCGCTACTATGCAAACTCGAAAACTTGTCGCAAAACAGTGGCTGAAATTTTGTCAGCATGTTTGTCTTCCACACAGGAAACCATATACCTAAAATGAGTACCGAATTGTACTGGCGCCAGAACTTATGGTATTTCAAAGATATTTGTAGCGAAGTGGATATTTCGCTTATCGGATAAGCTGCGAGGCTGAAAATTCGCTTGAATATTCTAAGTTTAAGTGCTGTCTTATTTCTGCTTGGAGGTGGAATTCCATGCAAGCGGGCGTGAAAATCTCAGCTTTACTGAAAAATCAGAAACGGGTGTGTTTTGCAGCTAACGACCGCCCTCACCCAAATATGTAAATGAACATTAGTTCATTTGCATATTAGAATTTTTTGACAAACGACTGCTCGAGCAATAGTTTCACCTTTTAGTGAAGTGGAAATTCGCATTTTTCATTTTTCACAGAGCAAACTTTTACCGAAGAAAACGACTGGACTTCATGCAAAAAACTGGTAATCAAACACCTGGATGTCCGTGCGGCTCTATAATGCACCACTTTCATCCCAACCGAAGCCCTTCCCACTACGTGCGGGAAGGGGCCAAAGCACAGCCAATATGAGCCCAAGTGTTAGGCTACAGTGGAGGCTACAGAATCACTCGTGCTATTAGCAATCTGCGAGTTTGGTGCAAAAACGCTTGATCGCACCTGCCGGCAAGCCTGATGCGTTCCAGCCTTGGTTTTTTACGGTAAAATAGCAGCTGGAGCCTGAGGATTCTTTATTGATGCAGGCGCGCACACTGAATGATATACGTGTTACCAAGGGGTATCAACAATGTTCTGCCCTTATTATACGTTTCTGTTTGCTTGATTTCACTTGGTACCACTTTTGGAGAAATTTGGAAAGCTACAGTCATATTGTTTAAACTGCTGAAAAATTTTACAAAATTTGAGATGTCGCCCAACATCATGAGACAGTTTTATTTGATTCTGGCAGATCGGTGCCTTGGCAGTCCATACAAAACAGTTTGAAGATTGCAAGAAAACGAAATGAGTAATTGATTTTTGGAAAGCAGTCTGAATTTCAAATCCAAAGAGGAATGTTTGTTATACAAAATGCTTTTTTGCAACTAATAATTTTTTATTGTATCCACAGTATCAGCAATACAAATGTTATCAGTAACGTCAGCAATGATGCTTTTTCATTCCGCTGAAGAACTGATCAAATTCGTCATTCCGATGGAATAATCAGGAACCAGTATCAGTTAAAGGAGCT